ACCCAACGAGTCCTGCATAACATGTTGTAACTTGTAATCATAAGAAAATGAAAAATCATGCTGAATTTCACAGCAAACAAAAAATTAAAAGTTTAAGGTATTCACCTGTAGAAGGAATGTCAATCTTGAATCTCTATAAGGAACATGACGTGTCCTTGCATTAGCACCATCTACTAGGACCATTATCACATGACTAGAAAGATAGATTCCGTGTTACAAAAATATGGGAACACAAAACAAGAAAAAATACAGCAAATAAAGCTGTTCATACCCTAGGGTAGATAATGATTTGTTTATATTTGCAGCTTCCTTTAATCGTTCACCTTCAGCACCCGAAGTTTTTTGTCTATTAATACAAAAGGAAAAGATTTGATGAGTAACAAAACAAGAAACTATAAAAAAAAAAAAGATTGTAATCAAATGCAGCACCTTTCTGAACCAGCTAGATCAACAAGATTCAGCCTTGCAAATCTAAGGTTAGATGTTGAGTCCTTCTCCCACCTACTTTCAATCACACATGTGAAAACACTGTGGGAACGACTGCTTTCTCTATTCATATTTGTTGCAGCAACTCTCCTATTTGCAGAACCCTATGTCAAGAAGCATAACAGTGATGAGAAAAAAGGTAAAATAAGTAATGCCATTTTACCATGAGATAGTTAATAGTTATTACTAAATTACCCGACTCAGAAGCCTAAGGATATCACCCACAGTGTGAACTTCACATTCTGTAAGATTTTCCACATACACTCCCTTCTTGACATCCTCCCTTAGCTGAAAACTAGAGAAAGTTAGATGACTGTAGTACTTGTAAGGTACTAAGGTTATTAAACTACTAAACTTACTTGCAAATTTGTAGATGAAGGGTCAAGAAGATCAGTAATTTGCTCATTGTAGATTTCTAGAAAAGAACACTTGCAATTGTATGTCAATCTTTCATCCATTCGACTCTCTTCTTCCTGTACATTGGAATGAAATTTGCATTTTTCAGGGTGAAGAACTAAAAGAGTGTGAGCTAGAAAATGAAGATACATATATTATGCTGTATTTACCGCAATGATTCTAGCAAATAAAAACTCAAACATTCGTGGAGTCATTCCCCGTTGTGGACTTGGTTTTAATTCAAGTTCATTTATCTCACCAAGCATTGTGTGTGTCTTTCCACTTCCAGTCTACATAAGTAAACAAGAAAACTAAAACATGTGTATAATACTATTTTAAAGATGATGAAATGCAGAAATGCATATAATAATGTTACCTGCCCATATGCAAAGATACAACTATTATATCCAGACAAACAATTCTCCACCATTGGCAGACCAACCATCCTAAAAAGAGTTTCCTGCACAAATTCGTACTTCTTGTAACACATTGCAAATAAAAGAATCAAGTTCATGTACAAACAGAACTCGGTATTGTTCCTTTTTGGTACCTGGTCAATTGTTTCACAAGCAACATGGTCAAAAGTAAATCGTGTTTCTGGATGCCCTACCCAGGTCAGGCATTGTGCACTTTCTTGTTTTAAACATCTGTTGTAACCTTGAGCACTAAGCTCCATGTTGTTGAGTGGACGAATTCGTATCAAAACCTTAAAAAAAGCAAACCCCATAAGCTAAACCTTTTGAAGTTGAATAATTGTGGGATTAGTATGGATGTTATGTCAAAAAGTGAACTTACTTGTACATTATGATCCATCCAGAATGATGGATCTTCTTTGAGGTCAATATGTGGTACCTCCACAGTATTTACAGTAGTGTAGGTGTTCTGAAGTCCTCTAGATAACGCTGCAAAGCTTACATTGCTGCGCACACCTCCACTGATTGGAGGCCTTGAACTACCTCCCTGAGACAGTCCTGGATTTGGAGGTTTATTCACACTCTTTGTAGGTGTATTCTGTGTAGAATTAGACTGTGTATTCTGGGTAGAATTACACTCTGAATAACCTGAACTTAAAGCTCTTCCAACTGTTCTGCATGACCTAGGAGTGTTTGTATTCATGTTCATATTCATAGTCCCGCTTTTCCCCTCCATCCTTGAATCCGAACCCCATCCATATCTATTCCTAGCTAGACCTCCTTGTTTTTCTGGAGTTTTCATTGGCATCCCCGATTCTGAATGCTTACTGGCATTGACCTTAGTGGGCGTTCTATCCAGTTTCGAGCTTTTAAACCCTAATTCCTGATCACGCTTACCAGGGTTTTGCACAGGGTCTCGAATTGCATTCAATGGTGGCCTGGAGGACGAGTCGGTACCCATCTGAGATGCTGATGATTCATGAAGCTTGCCATTTACAGGCATATTTTCAGGTTCATCGAAATCAGTACTTTTACCAGAATTCCGACGCAAGAACTTGAGATCTCTCAACATTCTGGTTAACAAAGGAAATAAGAATTTGAAAAGAGAATTGGAATATTATAAATACAAAAACGATCGAGAACAATAATAGAATGCATACCTGAAAGATGAAGTGAGAAATATTATTCCAAATCTACGGCCAACCCCTGAAATTGTTCTTTAAAACAATCAACACAAACTGTAGTATGACATATGTTCTTAGCTCTACGTGAAAAACGATGAATGCTGATTCAAAATCTCTCAATCTCCCTCTCACTCTCACCCTCACTCTCTCCCACGCACATCAAGAATCCATTAATGATGGAGTTGAGTTTGAATTTGTGGAGAAATTTGAAATGGGGTAGAAAACATGTATCGCGCTTTTAATTATTTAAATATGGAATAGGGTTTGTATTGTAAAAAGAAACAAATAAAGGGGAGAATTAAAAAATAAAGGGTATTGCTTGTAGAGGGCTACTTAACGGCTATGCATCCAAGGGGACCTCTAAATTTTGAATTTAAACTTGGAGAAAATACGAATCATATCTACCCCCACCGATTAACAAAATAATCAAATCAAACTAAGTGCTTTTTTTTCGTTTTTCTTATTATTTTTTTTATTTCAGTTTATTATTCTCTTTTTATTTTGTTTTTTAAATATCAGTTTTTTTTATATTTTGATATCACTTTTTTATTTTTTATTTTATTTTAGTTTTTTACTTTTATTTATTTACGTTTAACATAAATGCTTTGATGTTATTTATATAAATTATACAATTCATCTTGAACATCAAATTCTAATCATCTTAAATTAAAAATATCATTACAGATACAATGTTCTTTAGACCCTGTTTGGTGGGGGAAGAAAGTGGAAGAGAACAGAACTATTATTTTTCAGAAGGTGTTTGGCGCAAGTAAAGCCAGAACAAAAAAAATTTTGACCAAGTCCAATGGGACTATTCATATAAAAAAATAGTCTCACCCAAATAGGTGGAACACGTTTTTATTTTCTATTTCTTGGAGACTTGGACAGAAATACCCTTATTAGGAACGTTTCTGCAGCCTCGTCTCCATTTTTCTCGTAGCATCATCTCGTCTTTCTCACTATACATACGCTGGTAGTCGATTATCTTCTCCGCATAATCAACCAAGTAATTCTGAGTCTAATCAATTTCACGATATCTCATCTGCAATGAATTCAATTTCAAATGTGCGATGTTTCTTTCTCTACTTACATGTTTCTTTCTATACTTACCTGATTGATTTCAAATTTCAAGCTTATTTCTCTTTTTATTCACTTGCAACGATATGTTATTAGTTATCAGTTGCATTGTATTTTGTTTATCTAGTTTTACATACTTGTATCAACTGATTTCAAGATTTTATGTTTGTCGTTATACTTACATGCGCCTGATCTTTCTAAATCCAAATTTGCCTCTATTCTTTCTAACCCTAATTTTTTTATCTTGATATACCCTTAAATCCAGTAAAGTGTTAATTGACATCCCTTTTAAAAGTTATAGATTATGAGAAGCACCAGAATTCAGAAACTTCGAGCGATCAGGAAACTAGTGGTTGCTCGTTGTCACCTGATAGAGCCAAAGATGGTTTGGATCGTTCTTATGAGTGTACCTACTACAAAAGAGGGTTCACAAACGCTCAAGCCTTAGGAGGTCACATGAACGTCCATAGGAAAGACTTTAATTTATTGTTATAGTGACCATTGACCATTATACCCCTTGAATGAACACAATTGCAGGTGTCATTTGGTTGTAATACTTAACTTACTTTTGATAAATGACCAATACACCCATGTATATCCATGAATCATATCTTCACCAAATTCGTGCTCCCGATCATCTAACAATTTGTGTATAAAGCACCAAGATTCAATGCCACATTCCAATAATCTATTTTACTCGATTACCTTTATGATATTGCTTGAACACATAGAAATAATTTTTAATCTCCCAAACTACAAAATGATTAATGCATAAAAAAAAATCTAGTGCGATAATATGATTTCCATCATTGTTCTTCAAATATTTAAAATAAAAATTACCTTACATTGACAATTATACCCCTTGAATTTACATTGATCATTATACCCCTACATGAATACAGTTGTAGGCATCATTTTTTTTTCATCCTCGCCTTATTTTTGATAAATGACCGGTATATCCGTGTAGATTTACCACAATCAATGCTCAGCCTAATACATCTTGATAGCCTGTAAGCCTAATATAGTTTTACCCAATAATTTTGAAATTGTTTGTTTTTTTATTAATAGTTGTTGAATTTAGAAACATTTTGTTCTAGAAGTTTGTTCATATCAAGTTTATATTGTTTATGTCAGATGCATGTTTTAGATACTCGATTATGGACGAAAATGCCCATGAGTGCTTGTAGTTGCGTGTTTGTAGCTATCACTAAGATTTTAATACTTGTTAATTGATTGTACCCCCCCCCCCCCCGGTAAGTGTATGCTTCTCATTATAGTCAAGCATATGCTGTTTTTTTACTTGTTTTTTTATAAACTTTGTAGATATGGATCGTAATCATTTGCTCCTATTTGTGAAATTATTGGAAAGTTATATTCAGTTGTTGATGTGTCTAGCTACAATTGGACTATGGTTAATTAAATGTGAGGAAAAAAAGAAGCTCAAATGAGAGATCTAAGTAAAAGTACATTAGAAAGTAGATTAGACACAATTTCGAAAAGGTCAATAGAAATACAACGTATCACACGTGAAAGTGATGAAAATTGTATAAATGAGTTACGTATGGACAAATATGCGTTGGCACGTTTTTGTGAATTAATACAAACTCGTGGTGGATTATTAAACGATGGTTTAGCAACCAATGAGGAGCGAGGTGCTATTTTCTTAAACATATTAGCACACCACAAAAAAAACATATTTATTCAAGTTAGATTCTATCGTCAGGGGAAACAGTAAGTCGTTATGTTCATCGAGTTTTGGATGCTTTGATGCATTTGCAAGAGATATTGTTTGTTAACCCAATGCCTGATGCAAATGATTGTACAAACAACCGATGGAAATGGTTCCAGGTAATCATTATAATATTATTATTATATATTACAAATTAATATAAGGTTTGAACTAAGAACGAGTTAGTATTTTATTTATAGGGTTGTTTAGGAGCAATTGATGGAACGTATATTGAAGGTAATGTCCTTGACTCAGATAAACCTAGGTATCGAACAAGAAAGGGTAATATAGCAATGAATGTGTTAGGTGTCTGCAATCGTGACATGAATTTTGTCTACGTCTTAGCTGGTTAGGAAGGTTTCGGCTACTAATTCAAGGGTTTTGCGGGATGCAATTACTAGACATAATGGTTTGAATATTCCAATTGGTAAGCTAAAACAATAATTACTAAATATTTGAAGTAAACATAATTATATATATATATATATATATATATATATATATATATATATATATATTATTTTATTTAGTATAGGTAACTATTATTTGGCTGATGGAGGATATATCAATGGTGAAGGTTTTTTGGCACCATATAGAGGTATTGGGTATCATTTACGGGAATGGGAAGGTAGTACACGTGCACCTACAAATAAGGAGGAATACTTTAACATGAAACACTCTCAAGCAAGGAATGTTATTGAGAGGTGTTTTGGTCTACTAAAGAGACGTTGGGCTATATTAAGAAGTCTTTCATGTTATCCGATAAGAATTCAAGGGAGAATAGTCATGGCATGTGCTTTGTTTCATAATTTTATTAGGACACACATGGCTCTTGATCCGGAGGAAAACACGTCTAGAACTTTTGAAGATATGCCTATCGGGGAAGAACAACCAAATCATTTTCAAATTGTGGATGTTGTTGAATCAAGTAATGAATGGACTCAATGGAGAGATGATTTAGCACAATAAATGTTTGAGTCTTGGATGTCAACTAGATCTTATTAGATTGTTTTTTTAATTTTAGATTTTTTATTTTAAGCTTGTTATTCGTAGTTGTTATTGATGTGAACAACTTTGATTTTTTTGTATGTTTTTATTAATTCTAACTTGCTAAGTGGATGATTTGTTTTTATATTTTCCATTTTTATATATTACATTTGTTATGTATAATATGAAAAAAGCAGATAACAAATCATGGTAGACCATTGTCAATGAACTCAAGAAGAAGAGGATGCATTGATTACCATCATTCAAGACATAGTTGTCATCGGTGGCAGAGGTGATAATGGAAGCTTTAGGCCTGGAACCTATGATCAAGTCATTCTAAAGTTGCGGGAAAAAGTCATTGGTATTAATATAACAACAAAGCACGTACCAAACAACATCAAACGTTTAAAGGATAAATTTTCTGTTGCATATGATATGCAAAATACAAGTGGGTTTGGTTGAGATGATGCTTGTAAATGTATAGTAGTTGATTCTGCGGATATATTAGAGGAATATCTAAAGGTTAGTGATTATATATATATATATATATATATATATATATATATATTATTTGTATGCATATCTAAGTATTAAATATATGGTTTTACATGTAACTTTGTTTGTTTTACTAAAAACATCCAAACAAAAACTATGTTTGTAACGACCAAAAATTTCAACAAAATTTAAACTTTTCAAAAACAAATCATTTTAATAATGTTATTACAAAAAGGTTTTCAATACATTTATTATCAGAGTATTTCCAGAACCATGTCATAAACATAAACACGAGGAGAGGTACGATCACGCCTTCGCCTTGCCACGATCTCCTGAAGAACCTGAAAAAAACATTTAAACCACAACTGTAAGCCCAAAAGCTTAGTGAGATACCCCCAAAATACTAACCACGTATACGCCCTTCCAGGCTACGACCTTCCGATCCAAAACATATTGCCTTCCGGCCCATAACATAATGCCTTCCGGCCCATAACATAAATAGCATACATAGCATAACAAAACATAGAACAGCCATGCATATCGGGTCTACTGTGTGACTGGTCCGCCGTATCGGGCCTTCAGTCTGCCAGGTCCAAACTCCGAGTCTAGTCATGTCCTTCGAGTCTGCAGTGTGGTTGGTCCGCCCGCACCGGGCCTTCAACCCACCTGGTCCACTCTCTGAGTCTACAGTATGACTGGTCCGCCCGCATCGGGCCTTTAGTCGACCTAGTCCACTCTCCGAGCCTCGGCACGTCTGGTCCGCCTTCGTGGGGCATACAGCCTATCTGGACCGCTCGATGGGCCTTCGGAACAACCGGTCCGCCCAGGGTATCTTGGCCTACAACACAAAGCAGGACCCGCCTCAACCCATCTCCAGTCCAAACAACCATGTGCACATAACATACAATCATATAACAGTTCATAGTCAACAAGCAGATCAAGCAGATCACAGAACATATCATGACCCTAACCGGTCACTAGCATAACATCACCCTACATATCAGGAAACTGACCTTAACCAGGTCTCTAACATATACCATCCTAGCTACCAGGATGCAGACATATCAAGGACTAACATAACAATAAATATCCGAATCTCAATCCGATAAAGGGCCGGCCTTGGTGCCTTAGACCCTGTCGATATAGTGTGGATAACTCACCTCGCGAATGCCGATACTCCGAACTGAAGAAGCAAGCTCTCAAATCACCAACTCACCGCCAATCCCAAACTATCCATCATAACAAAATAAACATAAGGCCAATCATACATCCACTTATCGGGCCAAGACCAAAGTCCAAATCTCATACAAGGTCCAATATTGGCCCAATTTACCAAATTGGGCCCACCTCACCAAATGGGCCTAGAACCAATGACCATAACAATAATTAGGCCTAAAATACTCTATCCATAAATTCCCAGACTTGGCCCAATAACCAACTACCCACAACGGCCCAAACTCAAAGGCCCAAAATTAAGATCCAATTAGGGGGAGTACGCTGGGCGTACTCTCTCTGGTACGCTAGGCGTACTGCAAAGAAACGCAACTGGGATCGGGGCTCTGGCCCGCTACGCGGGGTGTAACTACTCTACTCACAAAATCATATAACTTCTTAATGGCTTAAGCCCTTAAGCCCAAACTTCAGATCCTTAGGCCAAATATGCCTAAGATTCATAAAGTCCCAAAATTTATGACTTGGGACATCCATAAGCTCTTAATCCAAGGTCTTAATCCATTAAGACATATATTTCTCACACATGGAACAACTACAGCCCTTGGGACCTCATTTTTCTCACTCAAGACCTCTCCAAAGGTCTGAAAGGACATATAATCTCGGGCAACACAAAGCATGAATCAAGATGAGAACTTTGGGACAAGAAAGATGCTAAAAAACTCCACAACACTTAGATCTGTGCAAAATAGATGGGAAGCAAGAAGCTTTATACCTCAAAGAAAGCTCCAAAGGATGGTATCTCTTCAGATCTACAAGCTCCAATCGATCCTCTTCTTCTTTGACAACTTCTCATTTCTCCTTCTAGCCTTTCTTTTGCCAAAATGAGCTTTCCAAGGTCAAACACACCCAATAATGGAGAGAATATGAGATCTAGGGTTTCTGAGGTTGAGGATGAGCTTTAAGGAGGCTAGGGTATGAACCAACATATTCCTTTTATAGTGGCTGACCCTAAATTAGGGTTTGTGGTTTCTGAGAGTATGCCGGGCGTACCTCCCTGGTATGTTGGGCGTACTCACCCGGCCACCCGCACACTTCTCGCCCCTTTACGATGGGCGTACGTCCAGCTTACGCTGGGCGTACCCAGCCATACTTCAAAATGCATGCATGGGACCTTCCCCACTTATTTCACATGGAGCTATAAACAATAATCATCTTCGAAACACCGCAACTCCTCTAATCTAAACCCGCTCCCAAATAACTTTACATTCATATGAGGGTGACGAGAAGCCCAATGCTTCTAACACATACACCAGCCCAAAACCTTCTCGGATGAAACTCATTTCCCGTAAAAGGACCAGAATTACCCTTCCTCTTAAATCTCAGGGACTCATAATTAAACACTTTAAGAATGGGGTGTTACAATTCTCCCCCACTTAAATTAGGCTTCGCCCTCGAAGCCTGCGACAACTCTACTCCGAAACTATCCCTGCAATGCACCGCCTGGTATTCACCAGACCATGCTACTCAAGACTCGACCATCGAAATCCGAAACCCAACTTTACCTTTCTTGCTGACAAGACGACACATGTTTCAGCCTCAGAGCAACTCCCACAAGTTCTCCACCGCAATCTCATAACCACACCAAACTGGCTCTAGAGTCCTCGGGTTAGGAAAACCCCGATACACTGATGACACTTCCAAACATCCTTCCGGATGAATTTTCACCACTTTAAACAAAATCTATCTGGAAATCTGAGATTCCATCCATGCATTACTGCCGAGCCTCAGCAACCATCCTACCCGGATGTGATCCCCATACCACTGCCGCAATCTCGTTGCTCAATGACCATAATTGGACCACTCCCATCATAACCCTGCGCTGCTACTTCCACTTCCGTGAATTTACATTCTCTTATAGCTAGGCGTGAGTAAAAACCGCACTGCAACTAAAAATAACCGCAAAAACCGCATAAACCACAACCGAAAAACCGCAACCGCAATAAAAACCGATGGTGAGGTTTTCTGTTTTTCAAAAACCGCAAATTTGCGGTGCGGTGCGGTTATTAATTTCCAAAAACCGCAAAAAAAACCGCACCGCACCGCATATATTATATACAATTTTTTATCAATAATTAGTTTATTAAATATTAAAAATAAGACAAATTTCATGAATGAAAAACGGATAAAATACTAGAAGACAAAAGTGTTGGTTTTTTCTTATGTTTAACTTTGAAAAAAAAGGATGAAATTAGACAATTTTATGATATTTATTGTTAATTACTATTGATTTAACGTTTTTAAGATATTAGTTGTTTGTGGTTTAAGTTAAATAGTTAATTGTCTTATACCTTATGGTTTTTATTATTATTACAAGTAATATGTTTGAACTCTTAAAACTATTTGAGCTCTAAACTGTGGTTAAAAACCACACAAAATAACCGCATCAAATCCATGCGGTTAATAACCGCAACATAGAAAAAATAAACCGCACCGCAAAAATAACCGCTTAACCGCACCGCAAAAATAACCGCACCATGCGGTTTTGAAAATGGATTAACCGCATTTGCGGTTAGTGGTGAGGTTTTGACTAATAACCGCACCGAACCGCACCGCGCTCACCCCTACTTATAGCATAACCGCTACCCATGCAACACACATGTCCTGAACCTACTCGCAAGGACTCTCGAGTCCATGCACCATCTCCACTAATCACAATCAATACCCGGGGCCAGACCTTCTAATGCTAACACATCACAACATACCCAACCCATTTCCTCGAACCGATCCAATAATACCTGCAGAGTCTTCAGCATGACTGGACCACCTTACCAGGTCTTCAGCCAATCTGGACCACTCTCAAAACCTTCAGCCAATCTGGACCGCCCTCCAGGGCCTTCAGTCTGGCTGGACCGTCCCCCCCCCCCCCCCCGAGCCTTCGGCCTGATTGGTACGCCTACCGGCCTTCAATCTATCCGGACCGCTCGACTAGCATCCATCATTCCGAGTTATCTCTCTGGGAAATCCTCCCATGCATACTGTTCTAGCCCTCTAGGGGTTCCGAAATCTATCTCCATCATACATACTCGATCCCAGCCTGATCCCAGGCCCTCCACAATCAATGCCATAGGTCTGTATTCCGCCCCACACGCCTACTACTCACCCATACCAGCCTGCTCTCGGTTGACAGAAATATCGCTGAATCCCAAGCAGCTAAACGATCTCTCAAGCCTATCGACCATCTGAAGAATTTCCAATTCTCCCCCACTTAGGGCACTGACTATCAACCATCGGTCGCTATCACCGACCTCCCAGAA